AAATATTATATTATTGAAATTGTATAATTAATGTAGATAACAAATTTTTTCTAGTAGTTTCTAGAAAATGGAGTAGGAAAGGATGGGGGCAGGTGAAGAAGAGGGAAGCTAAAAATGTGGGGAAGAGAGAGAGAGAGAGAGAGAGAGAGAGAGAGAGAGAGAGAGGAGAAAGAGAGAGAAAGGGGAAGGAGAAAGAATGAGAGAGAGAGAGGAATAGAGAGAAGGCGAGAAGAGAGAGAGAGAGGAGGGAGAGAGAGAGGAGGAGAGAGAGAGAGATGAGAGAGGAGAGTAGAGAGAGGAGAGAGAGAAGAGAGAGCGAGATAGAGAGAAGAGCGAGATGAGAGAGAAGAAAGAGATTAGAGAGAGAAGAGGACAAGAAAGAGCGGTGAGACAGACAGAGAGACGAAGAGAGAGAGAGCGGAGAGAAGAGATGAGTGAGAAGAGAGAGAGAGGGAGAGGGAGGAGGAGAGAGGAGAGAGCTCGAGATATGAGAGGCAGAGAGAAAGGGGAAAGAAAGACGGAACAGACAGCAAAAAGAGAAAGAGAGAGAGAGATAGATAGATAGAGAGGGAGAGAAGAAGAGAGTGAAGAGAGGAGGTGAGAGGGAGAAGAGAGAGAAGTAGATAGACGATGAGAGCAGACGAGAGAGAGAGAGAGAGAGAGAGAGAGAGAAGAAAGAGAGAGAGCGAGAGAGAGAGAGAGAAAGAGAGAGAGAGAGAGAAGAGAGAGAGAGAGAGAGAGAGGAGAGAGAGAGAGGAGAAGAGAGAGTAAGAGAGAGAGAGAGAGAGAGAGGAGAGGTGAGTGAGTGAGTGAGTGAGAGAGAGAGGAGAGAGAGGAGAGAGAGAAGAGAGAGAAAAGAAAGAAGAAGAGAGAGAGGAGAGCGAGAGAGAAAGAAAGAGGAGAGAGCGAGAGAGAGATGAGAGAAGAAAGAGAGAGAGAGAGAGAGAGAGAGGAGAGAGAGAGAGGAGAGAGAGAGAGAGAGAGGCGAGAGAGAAGAGAGAGGAAGAGGAGAGAGAAGAGAGGCAGAGAGGGAGAAGAGATGAAGAAGAGAGAGAAGTTCATGCGCTTCGTACACAAGGGCGCGCTCGCCAGTTTTCTGCAAAAAAATCATAAAGCGAAGAAGAGGAGGTATGGGAGGGTAGATGTACACCACGCGCGCGTACATAAAGCTCGTATACATGCGTATGCGAGCACATGTACGAACGTCTGTCTGGGCGTGAGCGTTGTGACTGTTTATTTCACCTTTATGTATATTTACGTCTAGTATCGCCCATGACATCGATTTCTATGCATGTATCAAATGAATAGTACGGTGAATTACCACCAGATGGCGGACCGTTTTATACCTAAAATTTGCGGGTGTTGCTATCCCCCGGGCGTGGAGTGAGGGTCACGTGATACAGTTGACGTATACTTCAAAACTTAACAGTAGCCACACATGCAGACTAACGAATACAGTGTAGTGCACGGTGTAGTGTATCCGTTAGTCTGTGGTAACCATAACCCTAACTCCAACACTAACCCTAACACTAAATATCTATATATCGGATCTCTATATATAAGGGCGTCATCCACAAACATTAATCTGTGGTGTGGGGACAGATATCATGATGCAAAAACCCTAACCCTAACCCTGACCCTAACCCTAACCCTGACCCTAACCCTAACCCTGATCCTAACCCTAATCCTAATACTAGTGCTGCCACGTTGCGTGACCCTCACTCCACGCCCGGGGGATAGCAACACTCCTAGTTATCCATCCATCCACCCGTGTATACTAACAATGGCAGCTCCGCAGTAATGTGTGTGTGGGGGAGCGTAGAGGGAGGGGAGGGACGCACGTGTAAAAATGAATGGGAAAAGGCAAATGGCCGAGGTCGATGTAACGTGCAATTATTTTGAATACTAATGAAATCGTTTGCGAGCGGTATTGTGCTAGCGCGCGGCTTTCCAGCAGCGCGGACACACGCAGTAGTATGTGTTTACCGATGCAGCGCGGACACACGCAGTAGTATGTGTTTACCGATGCAGCTCGAACATGATTCACGACTCATAAGCAGAGCAGCGTTATTGTCATGATACTCATCATTCCCACACAGTTATAATAAGGGTGTGTTATAGCTGTGAATCATTCATTGCCATACTAGAAAGTCATTGCCATAGTGTCACAGAGGCGGTGTGTGACAGCGTCACAGCTGTGAATCATTCATTGCCATACTAGAATGTCATTGCCATATACGGTCACAGACAGGATGTGTTACAGCTGAGAATCATTGCCATACTAAACAATCACACTTGTCATGATGAAAATGATAAACGGGGACGCGTTACGTCTTAAACCAATAACGAGTTGCTACTTCATTTCAACAAACGTTACGACTTCTACTGCTAGGAAACACGCGCGACGAAGACAAAAGGCGTGTTGTTGATTCACATCTGTATAACTGTTAACAGCACGTGTTTCTATACCTGCGTACGTACACGACAAGTGCGTGCTTATGAACGCACATACAAAGCGAGAGTTCGGGCGGCAAAACAAATGCAAAAACCGGCCATAATAACGCCATATATACGCCATAATAACGCCAATATAACGCCACCTCGAAAATTACGCCAACGAGCGTCTCGCTAAAACTTAATTATGCCTTAAATTGCCGAGTTCGCCGGGCTTTTCTCATGATCTACGCGTTTTTGTTCTCGATCGTGATTGATGACTGCGATCAACCCATCAAGTACGCTCTCCATCACACACGACTATGAAATCCACTAACTATGAGTAATCAATGGCAAGCATAATCCATGCCGCAAATGTGTATGTTATATTATAAAGGGGGGGAATACATACATCGATACATCAACATCGCAGTAGCCACTTCATACTCACGCGCCACCATTGCAGTGATGAATACTAAAACTTTTAGTTAATAAGTTCTTCTGACTATAAGCCCCCTAATGAATAATTACCCCCTGCTGTTTATCTCATCTTAGCACTTAACCCTATCCTTACGAACTTGCC